ATCTCAAAAGCCCTGATGGGTATCAGTACCTATTCATCATGTTGGCCGCATTTTGTGATCACCCCATAGAAATGCTTCAAAGAATAAATCACTCACAAATGACTATTTACTGAACAGTAACATTTCAACAAAGCACATTGCACACATGTACACACACACATTTTTAGACAAAGGCAGGACCCCAAACACTGAAGTGCTAACAGCCATTTTCATGTGAAGAACCTTTCAAGGACCTATACCTGTATATATATAGAGAGAGAGAGAAAGAGAGAGAGAGAGAGAGAGAGAGAGAGAGAGAGAGACGCACGATGGAATGTCTTTTTGTGTGTTAAATACAAAAGTATTCATTCCTATACTCTACTATACTTACCATACAGTGATCTAGAAGACAAAACAATAGAAGTTGCTGGATTTGCATTCATCATTAACTACAAATGATCATCATTTTCTAATTGAGCTTTGAATCAGTAACGTGTATTTCATGTTGGCATTTTAGTTTGCATTCATTACAGCTTTCTCTTGAGAAAAGGTGCAATTCCATCAGAGTGCCAAATAGATTTGTGTGCTTCGAAGGAAAATGATGACTTATCTCATTGCAAAGTAATAAGGGTGCTTTACTCTGGTATGATTTGTTGTCAAGTCGTAATTTTAATTCAAAGCAAGCTGGACATCTGGCGACTTTCTCTCAGTGCTTCCAGGCGAGGCTTCACGCCTCCAGTCTGGTCAGCCAGCCTGTAGCCCCAAGAGGGCCTTTCTTCTCCTGTTGTCTCCTCTTCTTTCTCTTCACACACATCCATCCTTCCTGGTGTGCCTGTCAAATCTTGCAACTCACTTCTCTCTTCCATCCCTTCTTTATTCCCTTTCTGCCTCTCCTCTTCTGCTCCACTGGGCAGGGAAGGTGAGTCAGTCCCCAGTGGTACCTCTGTACATATTGCAGTGTTTCTTCATGAAACAGAGAGTGGTTTCTTCTGAAACCCCACGCAATAATTGCTTTCTTTCACTTTACTTTTGCTTTGATCTTTTGGTGTATTATTGCAGCCTAATTTTGTCATCTACTGTCATTTCTCAAGTATATAAAAAAAAAAATCTAATTAAAATCAGTGGCGCATACTAAACATGGAAAATGAGGGGAAAAAAACATTGTGTAGATATATTCTGGTACCTAGTGCTTGTGAAAAACACTTTAACTCAGTGAATCCCAGCCATCCTACTGGATTTTGACTTATTTGAAAGGTCCATAGATTATTGTGTTCTTTTGTGGTATAAAAATGCAGCCTACCAAAAGAAAAATGATACTCTTTTCTTTCAGCTAAAAAAAAAAAATTCTTCTTCCATTCTTTAGCAATCAGCATTAGAAAATAGTTAACTGTAATCAAATTTCCATTTTTTTCAGGGAAAAAAATGGAGAAAAAGACAGTTTTGTAAAAGCATAATTTCAAGAATGGCACCGCTATTTTTTGCTTTTGTGACATCTCAAACATCTAAATACGACTTTCCTTCTACAAAACAATAAACAACACAACAAAAAGGCTTTTGATGGTCAAATATTTATCTGCACTCTATTGAACTGATTAAATGAACTATGAACTGAAGTGAAACAATGAGTTCAGTGAGTGTTTGCACACGTATGTTTGCATATGTAAGTGCACTTTACTCTGCAATTCATTCATATTTTTTTTGTGTGTGTGATACAAAATTGCCCTGATACAAGGGCACACAGCATATCTTAGACCGCATTCTGGTTTCACTTTGCAAAGGCACCTTCGCTGCGGTGTAGCTTTTGCATGAGGTAGATGATGTTCGTGCACACAGAGCGTCTTTTGACGGCTGCTTGTTACTTTTGGGAGGACGAAAGCGTCCTGCTGCTTTCAGCAACTCCATCTCCCTCGTCATGATGGAAGACTGGTTTGAATGCACTCTCTACTATTCCACAACTTCGCCCATGCATCCTTCCCCCTCTACTTGTTCTGTAGCATGATCCTGGCTGATCCATTACAGCCACTGCCACCTGATACACAGATTTTAAATGATTTCCATCGCAGACAAGCCCGATCCTTAGTCAGAGGTTGCGTCAGACCCTTCTGCACTCTATGACGCCAAATTACACCCGCTGCCACTTGCTGGACAGATTTTAAATGATTTACAATGAACACAAGCCTTATCCTCAGTCAGAGGCTGCATTTTACGATGCCCAAAAAAAAAAAAAAAAAAAAAAGGAAATGACGTATAAATACGTCATGGGTAGGTGGTCGTAGTGGCTTTTCTTTACGTATTTGTTTGGCATGGGGAATAAAAGATTTTATACCAATATTATATGTAATGTCTAATGCCATAAATGTATTTTAAAAAGAGATCAAAGAAATTGTTCCCCTTCCAAAACAATGGATCGGCTACCAGATCGCGGACAAACATGTTACGTCTTTGCAATGAGACTCGCTTTTTGAAGCTAATTGGTCTCTTCTTGTTTATTTGATCTTTTCTGTGGTTTCTTCTGAAACCCCACGCAATAATTGCTTTCTTTCACTTTACTTTTGCTTTGATCTTTTGGTGTATTATTGCAGCCTAATTTTGTCATCTACTGTCATTTCTCAAGTATATAAAAAAAAAAATCTAATTAAAATCAGTGGCGCATACTAAACATGGAAAATGAGGGGAAAAAAACATTGTGTAGATATATTCTGGTACCTAGTGCTTGTGAAAAACACTTTAACTCAGTGAATCCCAGCCATCCTACTGGATTTTGACTTATTTGAAAGGTCCATAGATTATTGTGTTCTTTTGTGGTATAAAAATGCAGCCTACCAAAAGAAAAATGATACTCTTTTCTTTCAGCTAAAAAAAAAAAATTCTTCTTCCATTCTTTAGCAATCAGCATTAGAAAATAGTTAACTGTAATCAAATTTCCATTTTTTTCAGGGAAAAAAATGGAGAAAAAGACAGTTTTGTAAAAGCATAATTTCAAGAATGGCACCGCTATTTTTTGCTTTTGTGACATCTCAAACATCTAAATACGACTTTCCTTCTACAAAACAATAAACAACACAACAAAAAGGCTTTTGATGGTCAAATATTTATCTGCACTCTATTGAACTGATTAAATGAACTATGAACTGAAGTGAAACAATGAGTTCAGTGAGTGTTTGCACACGTATGTTTGCATATGTAAGTGCACTTTACTCTGCAATTCATTCATATTTTTTTTGTGTGTGTGATACAAAATTGCCCTGATACAAGGGCACACAGCATATCTTAGACCGCATTCTGGTTTCACTTTGCAAAGGCACCTTCGCTGCGGTGTAGCTTTTGCATGAGGTAGATGATGTTCGTGCACACAGAGCGTCTTTTGACGGCTGCTTGTTACTTTTGGGAGGACGAAAGCGTCCTGCTGCTTTCAGCAACTCCATCTCCCTCGTCATGATGGAAGACTGGTTTGAATGCACTCTCTACTATTCCACAACTTCGCCCATGCATCCTTCCCCCTCTACTTGTTCTGTAGCATGATCCTGGCTGATCCCTTACAGCCACTGCCACCTGATACACAGATTTTAAATGATTTCCATCGCAGACAAGCCCGATCCTTAGTCAGAGGTTGCGTCAGACCCTTCTGCACTCTATGACGCCAAAAAAAAAAAAAAAAAAAAGGAAATGACGTATAAATACGTCATGGGTAGGTGGTCGTAGTGGCTTTTCTTTACGTATTTGTTTGGCATGGGGAATAAAAGATTTTATACCAATATTATATGTAATGTCTAATGCCATAAATGTATTTTAAAAAGAGATCAAAGAAATTGTTCCCCTTCCAAAACAATGGATCGGCTACCAGATCGCGGACAAACATGTTACGTCTTTGCAATGAGACTCGCTTTTTGAAGCTAATTGGTCTCTTCTTGTTTATTTGATCTTTTCTGCCTACTTTCCATCACAACACGGTCTTCAGTAGGCTACAATTAAACGCTTCATTTTCTGAGCATGGACAACAGCAGTTTGGGGCAGCATATTAAATGGAGGTACAAGGAAAAATCAGCTCTGAGAGGGCAATTTTCTGGGTGCATATTGTATTACGGTGATAAGGATTTATTGTTTGTTTGTTTTTTTCTCCCAAAGATTCCGTCCTTGAACATGAGCAGCAGCAACAACCAAGTATCTCTAATAATGAAGATTGAACAAATGTAGCACTCCCTAAGGTGTCAGGGCATGTTAGTGACAGCTGTCACTATCTGGCTTGAAAGCTCTCTCATGGCAAATACATTGCAGGAAAATAGGCAACATTTATTCTGTTTGCTCTTCAAAACGTTTCTCTTCTTTTACTTCTTTACCTGTCTACAAGAATATTTGACTGGGTTGTCAGTTAGTTTGGAGAGTTGACGGCTCCCTTCCAAATTATGGAGGTGCTGGTGTACTTTAATGTTGCCCACGCGGTAAAAAAAGGTGACATTCTTACTTTTGAACTGGAGAGGGCTAGTTCTAGGAGACTGTGACGTAAATGATACAGGCTATTATGTAACATTAAATAACAGTAATGGTACGGTATATGTAAGTAATGGAAGATTGTAATTTTTGAACCGTAACTCTCCCTACAATGATTGGGGCACATCAGATTAAAATAATTTTGCATGGTGTTCAGATGGAAAACTGTTTCTGTTTGACTGGTGCAATTCAGTAAAAATATTTGTAATCGTTTCATTCATTAGTCTCTGATGGTGTAGTGATGCATTGACCTGATTGTGATGCAGTCAGCTTGGGTTCCCACTCAGTGGCGGCCTGAATCTGAGTGTGAGTGGATTTTCATCTCGATATGTGCTGTGTGACTGCCTGGTGACCGCTATAGTGTGTAGTCCATCTTTCACCTGAGATCAGCTGGGATAGGCTCCAGCACCCTCGTGACCCTGAACAGGACAGGTGGTGTTGAGAAATGAATGGGACTTGTACTGTATGGCTACAGACATTTTCCTCTGTCAGAAAAAAATAGCTTATCTGTCTCTGTTTCTGTATTTGTGTAGGTTTTTGGAGATTATTATCACTTCAGACATCACGCTGTGGAGAAGAGAGCTTTTTCTAGACACACAGGGCTGCACATCAGACTGCAACGAGATGCACAAGTAAGACTTTTCCATGCAATCACAGCTAATTACTGAGGCCTAAAGTCAATTAGCATGTGCATAATTTGAAGGAGAAACTGATGTTGATGTGAAGGACAGCTAATCTTAATCAGTGTCTGGCAAGTCACACTGTTGACAAGAATTTTCCATGTGATTATGATGAAAATGGGTTTAATGTAACATTTTAGCCTTGGAAATGTTCACCAAGATTAAAAATTAAATGTAACATTACCCAGAAATGTAATCTTTACTTTTAACGGTTTTTAACTGATTCTTTCTTATGTAACCTGTGTTATATTTTTCGATATTGTATGACAGTGATAATGAAAGTACCGCTTTAATTCTGCTTTATGCTCATCCATCAAATCTTGACTGATAATTTCCCATCAAGAATTTCAGCCACAGCATTATCAGGAAGATGCTGCAGGGGGAAAAACATTTGTGAAATATTCTCCACCATTTGGATGTAAGTGAAAAAGCGCCCAGTCGGCAGAGTTTGATGAGGCCATAGAGAAAGACTTGTGGACAGCGTCAAAAAATTCTCATCCGCCATCCTGCATCTCAGGATGGTGAAGTAGTGCGCCATCAACACTGTATATAGTGGGGATGGGACAGTGCTGACCTCAACTCAGGATGTCGTAAATCAGTGGGGAGAATACTTGGAAGACCTCCTCAATTTCACCAAGGAAGCAGAGTCTGGAGCTTTCTGAAGAGGGCTCTCCCATCACCGGGGTTGAAGTCATCAAGGTGGTGAAATAACTCCTCAGTGGCAGTCCCTGGAGGTGGATGAGATCCGCCCAGAGGTTCTCAGGCTGTCCTGGTTATCATGCCTCTGCAACATTGCATGGACACTAAGGACAGTGCTTCTAGATTGGCAAACCAGGGTTATGGTCCCACTTTTTGTGCCATAGGGCTCTTGGCTACGCCCAATTTTGATGCGCAGGCGCCCGAATTTCACAATGGTGCAACAGAAAAAAAATCTGAGTTTGTCCATGTGCAATCTGCCAATGGAGTATGGAAAAATATCTCAACTCTCAAGCCTCAAGGGACACGGATATCATCTGAGTCAGAGATAGTGAAGAATAGGACTCTCCTCAGCTATTCTCATATTTTTTTTTTTTTTTTTACTTTATTGAACACTCAACACAGCTGACTACTCACTTGCGCCGCGAAACACGTGGAGTTGCTACTCTTATCGCAGAGTGACAAAAGAGAGTCATCAAACACAACACTAGTCATTTTTAACAATGACAAAGTCGCTAGAGATTTGTTGGGTCTCTGAATCAGTTCAGACAAAAAAACTTGGAAAACGCTTAGACTTTAAAATCGCTGATTTGCTTATTTCGCTGTCAATCAGAACGGGATTCAGCCTCAGACAAATCATCCAATCATCATGCAGAAACCAAGCGTCCGATCTAGCCCACTGCCCCATTGACCCCTAGAGACGCTGAGTGTCCGATGGTCATGAACTGTTTGCCCAGCATTTATTCAATGACCCACTCTTCGCTTCCCCTTCAAAGCAGTAGACACATAGCGTCTAACTGTATAAACTGTATAAAAGCCATGCTAATTACAAAACTAATCTAGCACATTGAACACCATAATGTAATGCTTAGGTTAGTGAGTACACTTCACAGATATCTGGCTGGAACCAGGTTAAATCGGAGCATATCCAACTTTGCATAGCAATTTAGCAGGCAAAATAAATGTCTGGACTCTGACAAGAAAATCGATTGCTCGACTAAACCGGAAACCTACTGTTGCTCACAAAATACAGTTTGCTGCTGTATACAATGTGAATTTAAGAAAAACTGTTGATTATACATAAAAAATAAAGCTCTGGCTTCAGGTCCCTGTGAGGAAAAAAATGCTCCAAAAAATCAGAAAGTTGCTCCTCGAATGAAGTCACTAATTCGTAGAACCGCTTTGCCAGAACAAAAATGATTTTGAGCTTGGTCTGCACAATGTATCAATAAAAAATTGTCATCGTGATGATGGCCAATGCAGTCTGCATATGGCAAAGGTGTGCAATACGTTTCATACGGTATTGAGTTTTTCTATCTGATGTTGACTAATTAGATCCAACCTTTAATGTGTATTGTCATCCAATAGGTTCGATTGAATAAGTGAACTGGCACTTTGGGAAAAAAACCCCAGCTTGTATCGGCATCAGCACGGCTGCCACCCTCGTGGGGATGAGCGGTTCGGATAATGGGTGGATAGATCATTCGGCTGTTTTTATTTAGACAAAACAGTTTATTTACATTGTGCATTTCATACAGAAGGTGACTCAATTTGCTTTACACAAGCAATGACACAACACCGATATGCATTTTCAGACACAACGGTTAATGACATTCAAAAGCAAAGCAGAGAAAACAGAAGTAGCTTACCAAAATTACCAGAACATACATGTAGACCATTTATAGGAAACCTTTAAAAGTAAAGAAATAAAAGTAGGTTTCTAAAATAAGTACAAGAAAAAATGATTTAAAATTGTGGAGAGGACCTTTATCAAATGTATGGGAAAGAAGCAAAAATTTCAACATGGATTTAAAAACATTTACACTCAGTTCTGATTTCATTTCTGTTGGCAGCTTATTCCATTTGTGTGCAGCATAACCCCTAAATGCAGCCTCACCATGTTTACTTTGAAGTCTGGGCTCCACTAATTGATCTGAGTCTGCCGATCTCAGAGCCCTACAGGGTTTATTTTCAATCAGCATTTTTTTAATGTATTCAGGACCCGAACCATTCTGTGATTTAAAGACCAGGAGCAGAATTTGAAAATGTATTCTACAGCTAATTGGGAGCCAGTGTAAAGCCTTTCGGACTGGAGTAATATGTTCTGACCTCCTTGTTGTGGTCAGAACCCGAGCTGCAGCATTCTGAATGAGCTGCAGCTGTTTGATGCTCTTTTAAGGCAGTCTAGTAAGGAGACTGTTACAATAATCAAGTTTACTGGAAAAAAAACATAAGTTTGTCCTGGTCTGCTTGGAGCATTCAACCCTTCGGCCTGGCTGTTTGTGTTTTTCAGATGGTAAAAGTGTCTTTTGGTGATTGATTTTATATGATTGCTGAAAGTCAGTGTATTGTGGAGTGTGAATTAAAAAAAATAAATAAAAACAGCAACAGCAGTTTGTGTCAAGTAGAGGAAAGTTAAACAAAATAGTGATTTCCGAAATATCCTGCATTTCGATTACATACAAAATTTCACTCAAATCGTAAGGCATATGTTTGATCACCAACTTGAATAATTCACCTTTTATTTCAAGACTTGTCTGATGTGTTTGAGTAAAAGAACACCGTGCAACTGAAAATGTTTGATTTTATTTTTTCATCTAAAACAATCCAACAGCCAAGGCTGTAGAAAAATGGTAATTACTTTAAGATTGAGCACTGGTGGGAAAAAGCCATACTCTCTTTCAACGTCTCTGCCTCCTGACTCAGCAACAACCCAATAACCTCAACACTCGAGGCTTCACAGTAAATGCAGCTGACTTGCTTGTAACTGCAACATTCAAATAGACTTCTGAGCTCATATCTAATGAGCCCCGAAACTTAATTAGTATTATTGATTGCATCTCCAAATGCCATCACTGAAAACAAACTGATTCAGAGGCTTAGAAAATGCAAAAGCACTTGAATAGACAGCTAAACAATCAATGAGAGCATGAGCACTTGTTTACAGAGAATCAAATAATAAGTTGCTTTTGAATGGCAACTTGTGAATCGCATGTTGTTATATTTAAAATGTTATGAACACAGAGCCGTGCTGCCTGGCTTTCACTGTGTTGACAGGCAGCCTGAACGGAGCCCTTCTACATTGCCCATAACATGAGTGGTCGAGTTGGGTATCACTGTGTGCCCTGTGATTGCCTGCTAACCAGTCCAAATTGCACCTTTAAAATGTAAATAGATGTATTTTGTTCTGAATTCTACATTTTATACTGTGCATTTGTTGTGCAACTCAGACTCATTGGAATGCACTTGGAAGGGTCAAAATTTTTGCTGCGGTGATGGTTAGGTTGGTTTTTAAGGCGTTATTTTAATAGATCCATTAATGTATTTGCAACAAAAGCATTCTGTAGGAAAAGTATCTAATAGCCTTATTGTCCATTATGTTTGGTGAGAATAACCAACAAAAAGGAACGGTAATTCTGACAAAGGAAAATGAAATAATTATTATGGCGGTAGGGGGGATAGTAAGTTAATGTCATGATGAATTATAGAGTGGATGAAAAAAAAAAATATATATATGCTTGCCGAATGTTCCGTGGGAGGTCATTCCAGAGAGAGGGACCAGCAACGGAAAAGGCTCGATCCCCTCTGAGCCTCCGTCTAGTTCTTGGTAATTCTAATAATGTCTGGTCCGCAGACCTGAGGCGCCGGGCAGGTGTGTCGTGGCGGATGACCTCAGAGAGGTAAGGTGGCGCGAGGTTATTTAAATTTAATTTAAATTTGAATTTAATCATTTAATTTTCCTGAACGCAACACTCTTATAGCTGCTCTCTGCCATTGGCGATTACCGAGCATCATCCTGGCATCTCAATGGTTAAGAGGGACCTCTACCGTATTTGTCTACGAGTGTCGATAGATAGACGTGTCGATGCAGAGTATCCGTATCCAGAGTATCCAGAGTATGATGAAGCGTTCCGATGGTTTTACATGAATGTGAATCACCCAGAAAAAATGTTCACCAGTCGGGCAATCGCTCACTTTGCTGATGTTTGCCATGGACATTTTCAAAGGATTGTTAAAATCTGACAAAAGCAAACGTCCTTGGATCAGTTCTTCACAAAAGGCCAGGCAAAAACCACTTCTGAGAGAGAACATAAACTAAAGGGCAAAAAAAGATGAGGACGCAGTTAAGTTAAATGACCGTCATTTTTATTCTTTATTCTTTGTTTTTACATTATGCACAACTCTAATTTATTGTGCAATAATCAAATTGTAACATGTATTTGTGACATATTTTGATGCAATTTTATGCTTTAGAA